CTGAAGACCGGTACCGAAGCATGTTTTTAGACGCATCCGGTATTTTTGTATTAAAATGGCGGAAAAAATAAACATCATTCTTGAAGATCTGGGTTTGGAAAGTGTCATACCTACTTTCGAGACAGAGAAGATTGACCTGCAGACATACATGGCATTAAATGACACACATCTGATTAGATTAGGCGTAAATACAATGGGTGACCGATTGAGGTTAAATGAAAGGATAAGGTCGGAATTGAGCGGAGATGATCAGTTAAAAGAAAGTATAGCAGGGACTTCAGATTTGTCTTCTCGGTCGCAACCTACTTCATTAGCACGTGGAATACTAAAACAAAGAAATATCTTATTTGGTAAAAAAAAAAATAATTCAAAGAAAAGGTCATCGTCCCTGGCGAATTTTGATACGGATGATAACAAAGCGGAATTGGAAGGTGGCCAATCCAAAGGCAAAAGTAAAAAAAAGGCCAAATACACCAATATAACTTGGACAGTAACAGTAGTATGTCTATCAACTAAAAATGCTGACAAGGTTCCATCCCCTACGGAAATGGACAATCTTTTTAAGGATGGTTTAGGGTCAAAGAAAATAAAATTTCACGCAGATGACACGGAGCATGATTTGTTGGATAAAATCAATTCTGATATTGTTGAAGGCCTAGATAATGAAACAGTTGGGTTCCCTCAAATAAAAGGTTGTGTGCGGGATTGACCTGTTGAAATGCAACCAGAATTCCAGGGACCTTCAGGTTATTGACTGTACATGGTCCGTCAAGAAACTAAAGGATTACTTAGAAAATCAGGCAAAATTGTATGTAAGGCCTGTACAAAAAGATTTAGATATGGAGCCAGTACAGAGAAGTTGTAATTCTCGATCAGAAGTTAAATGTAATAGCTGCTTTAAAACATTTTCTGTGAAAGATATCCGAGAACATACAAATACATGTGTTATGTCTAAACTAAATGAGGAAAATCCATACAGTGACTCAGATGAATTGCTAGATCCTATGTTGAATTGCAACGACACAGTGAAAGATGACAGTACAAGTGTTTATTAAAAGATGATGAAGTTAATGTAGTAGCCCCTGCCACAAACACAGATGCCCGCACACAACCTTTTATTTGAGGGAACCCAACTGTTTCATTATCTAGGCCTTCAACAATATCAGAATTGATTTTATCCAACAAATCATGCTCCGTGTCATCTGCGTGAAATTTTATTTTCTTTGACCCTAAACCATCCTTAAAAAGATTGTCCATTTCCGTAGGGGATGGAACCTTGTCAGCATTTTTATTTGATAGACATACTACTGTTACTGTCCAAGTTCTATTGGTGTATTTGGCCTTCTTTTAACTTTTGCCTTTCGATTGGCCACCTTCCAATTCCGCTTTGTTATCATCCGTATCAAAATTCGTCAGGGACGATGACCTTTTCTTTGAATTATTTTTTCTTTTACCAAATAAGATATTTCTTTGTCTTAGTATTCCACGTGCTAATAAGTGGGTTGCGACCGAGAAGTCAAATCTGAAGTCCCTGCTTTACTTTCTTTTAACTGATCATCTTTGCTCAATTCCGACCTTACCCTTTCATTTAACCTCAATCTGTCACCCATTGTATTTACGCATAATCTAATCAGCTGTGTGTCAATTTATGCCATGCATGTCTGCAGGTCAATCTTCTCTGTCTCGAAAGTAGGTATGACACTTTCCAAACCTAGCTCTTCCAGAATGATGTTTATTTTTTCCGCCATTTTCATACAAAATACCGGGTGCGTCTAAAAACATGCTTCGGTACCGGTCTTCAGTTCCGGAGTAGGTAAGGAAAATTTTCTACAGCATGCGAATCAAGTGGAATAACATAACGGAATTCTGTAGAGACAATACGTACAACCAAACTTGACAGAAGATAATATATGAGAGCTCTTCAATAAAGTATTTCATTTACTTATGGTTTGTCTTTGAAAGAGGCAACTTGAAGGAACCAAAGACGCCGAAATGGCCATACAGCCCATTAAAGTTAATATCTGTATGATGTATATATGCTTCACTGTCTCATGTGCATTTATTCCATATCCTTGCATTTTTATTTAGCCGGAAAAATGCATGGGAGGTCAATAACAAAATAACTTGACTGCCTGTAGTCAGACATATTTTTTTATGTCTCTGCTTTTGTTAACTTAAAACATTGTGGTCTGTAAAAAAACGTGACCGCTGGAGACATCTCTCTTTTTTCTTTTTTCTTTGAAGGTATGGGGGGGGGGGGGGGAGGGGGGGTCCAACCTACTTGTTTTCAAATTAACTGAAACTAAAAAAAAATGATATCTATAATGAATCTATATGGAAAAATAGGTATTTTGCGATTTGTTTTAAAGCCAAACCATAGTTTAAAAAAATCTAAGCAGTTAACTTTTAGAAAATGGTTTTAAGAAAGAAAAATATGGGTAATTGTTTTGTTATCTCAATAGTTTACAAATAGTTATTACTTAAAGTGACGTCTCTGGAAAATATCTTATTTGATTATCTCCCCCTTTTAAATATATTTTCAAAACATTTAACAATAAAAATGTCATACGGCCTTCCAAGAGCAAACTGCAGGTAAATGAAATAAAATATCACCCATTCTTTGTGACTTTTGTAAAATAATTAAAATGTTTTTCAATATATTATAATTTATGTTGCTTTTAATAATAAACATTACCAAATGATATAAAAATTTAAAATCAAAATTGCAGAAGACACCCGAGCTTCTCGAAATTGACAAAGCAAAGTATAATGTTAAAGTACCATCATATAATGTCAAAGTACCATCGTATAATGTCAAAATACCATCATATAACGTCAAAGTACCATCGTATAATGTTAAAGTACCATCGTACAATGTCAAAGTACCATCGTATAATGTCAAAGTACCATCATATAATGTCAAAGTACCATCGTATAATGTTGAAGTACCATCATATAATGAAAGTTTTTAACATAAGGCAATTACGGCGTTCCATAACGAAAGCTACGAGAAACCTTACTGTATGGTTTAATAACATCTTTATATGATAGTCTTTATGTTGCTCAGAACCAAAAATGACCCTGGGATAATGTAAATGCCCTCATCTTGAGGGAAATAATAACATTCAAAATACTAGACAAAACAAACCCTTTTAAAATTCGGACGGAACTCGTATGCTTCGGAGCGGTAAGCCGATCCTACTCCACTAGTGTCAACGGGGTTAGTTGTTAATCGTGTCGTGGTAATATACGACAAAGATACTTGACGTCATCTTGTAGCAAAGTATCTTTTTAATTGAAGTTGTTACGCATATCTAAATACTAATGACAAGATCTCAAAATGAGGTTATTATGGCTGTTTATGCAGTTTTGCAAAAAGATTTGAAGACGTAATGCATATATGAAGGACAACATTCAAAATTATAAATACTGATGTCTGATAAACTAATGTCTTATGGTCATCTGATGGGTGTTATTTTGTAGATTTATGACACTTTTTGATTTTCGAATGCAAAAAAGGGACTTTCATGCTTTCTTCTTTGCCAAAAACATTTTAATTTCCAAGGCCGTACTTCGTCATTATAACAGGGAATGATTAATACAATCATTGTCCAACGAACTGGAAACACGAACTAACAACCTGTTACAGTTTTAACTTTATTTTGATAATAACTGTAATTAAAATTTTGTTCATTTTTTTTTAATCAATTTTAATAATAACTCTGAATGTTATCTTGTATCGAATTACCACTTGTTACATATGAAAAAGATCGTTAAATAGTAATTTGATGCAAAAAGCATTTTTAAAATTATTTGTTAAACACAAACTTATCATTTTAATAAGGGGAATTTACATACAAAACTGGTCCTATTATTCAAGGAGAAAAAAAACATTCTTTTTTCCGTCCAAGGAGTTGGCTTATCTAATTACTTCGTCTTTTAAAGACTTAGACAAACTCCACCACAGAGTTCATATCTGTATCGTCTACATTTCTGTATTCTTTAATTTTTCAGCCTTTTTATCAATTTATTTTTTCTCGTTATTCTCCATTTTTGTTATATTCTAGCACCCCATTTTACTCTATTCTTTATATTTTAGCACCCCATCATTCTCTATTCTTTGTGTTTTAGCAACCCATTATTCTTTATTTTTGTTCCATTACTCTCTAGTATGTAAATCCCATCCCGACCCTTATTTATAGCAATACAATACCACGTGCACTTGTTTCATGCGATGGTAACACCACCCCCTCTTCTTTGGTAAAAGAAAGGGGGCTTAAACTTCGCAAAAACAAGTGTCTGTGCAAAATACCATGTAAAACGGGACTGAACTAAAGTGCTCTGACAGGAAAGGCAACCCACTACCAGTTTCACTAGTGATAACCATCGTTTTATCATATCATTATTTTTTTAAACATTTCGTTTCATAATTTTTATTCCAATTGTAAGTAAATAACATCACGTTTTTTTTTAAAAGGCATTTAATATTGTGACAACAAACTTGATATCACAGATAAATGCCCTGGGGAACTGTTACTCCTCGAGGTTATTACCAGCTGAGAAGTCAGTGTTTCGGTACTGATATGATTTATAACATACTTTTGTGATTAAATTCGCCATTTGTGAATACAACCAAAACAATTGGCGGACTCCAGAAGGAATAAAAGTCTTAAACAACGATTTTTGACGTCTAATTTTCATGTCCGTTATATTCCTTTTGAAAGATCTTTCCCTCTGAAACTACTGAACCAATTTTACCAAACTTTGTATGAGTGATCCTTAGATTATAGAGTTTGATTTTTTTTTCGTTTGGTAAAAAAACTTGACCGCACGGCTAAAAAAAGAACATAAGGGTAAAATGTATTAATTGATGTATATCTCGAAAACCATGATAGATACAGAAAATCTGACAGTGGCAATAATGCTAAAAAATTTGCATAGATAAAAGAAAATTTCTTTTTCAAAATATTTATTGATCTAGTCACATAGTTACATAAATTTTAAAATATGTTTTGATATTTTACATGTCAAGGGACGCTACTTTTGTTGTCGTTTGTTCATCTGTAGTGGACAATTATTTGATTTCATGCCTCGTATTGGGATTACACATACTTTATATTGACATCAGGAACTCCTGGTGAAATATTTGCAATTTTGCTTCTAGCTTCACTTTAAATGTCGGACCATTAAGGCTGCTTACGGTATTGAGAATATTGTGTCAGGAACCAAGACTACACATTTAGGAATCTTGATAATGTATCGTTCGTTTTTCTTCGGGGTATTAAGAAACAACATTCGGTTTTCCTTATGTGATCGTCATTTTGTTTGATTGTGTTAGTTTCTATCATGAATAAAAGGAAACTTAGGGTATACTCCGAGTAAGTGTAATTAAAGGTCAATATACGTTCTTTAAAAATGGACAAATGTCTACAGAATATATTAAGCTATAAGTCCCTTGTCTATTATCATGGCAAGGGTGTGTTAAAAATACCAAATTACATAAATAACAATTAAGATATTAAAAAGACTACCACCGAAGAGGTTAATATCTTGGGACAATCACATCAAGAAGATTTTTAGCACTCTCTCCCTTGAAATCTCGATTAGTCGAGCAGGAGTATACAAAAAATTACATTAAAGAACTTGCATAGAAAATGCAGTCGAAACAAAGCAATCAACTCTAAGATACCGGTATAAAAGACAACACAAAACATGTAAAAAAATGCAAACTGAAGTAACGCAGTCTCAAAGTACGTAATTTGATGTTAAAGAAACTATGCCGTCCTACACTCTAATATCGGCGACTGTACCTTTGAAAAGATTTGATACAGCAACGTCATGAACAGAGTGGGAAGATTGATCGGTGTTTTTTAACGTCCATTGGCAAAAATTTCAAACCCACATCGGGACAATCAATACAAAAAGCAGGATCTGCAAAATCGATTGACCGGGACAGAAGGAGAAAAATTCGGACTCACTAAAAAATATTTAACCACGCCAAATTCTGTATGTGCATGTATGTGCATGTCCCAAGTCAGAAGCCTGTAATTCAGTGGTTCTCGTTTGTTTCGGTACATCATATTTGTTTTTCATTTATTGTTTTGTACATAAATCAGGCCGTTAGTTTTCTTGATTGAATCGATTTACATTTGTCACTTCGGGGCCATTTAAAGCTTGCTATGCGGTATTGGTTTTGCTCCTTGCTGAAGGCCTAACGGTGACCTATAGGTGCTGACCTTCTACGTAGAGTTGTCTCATTGGCAATCATACCACATATTTTTTTTATGCTGTTATTGATTAATGTATATTCAGAAATTATTGCGAGGTTTTTATTAATGCGAATAATGCGACTGGGAGAGTATCGCATTAATAACAAATCACATTCTTATATCTTATACATACCGCTGCATGCAGATTTTCCTAAAATTGCAATAATTAATCTCGCATTTATTTCCATTCTTCAAAAATCGCAATAATAAATGCACGCAATAATTTTTGAAATACAGTAATCGAAGAAATTATTTGTAAATATATTATTGATGATCTCTTCTTGTTCTGAATATGCATGAAATATTTGCCACTAAAAGTTTATCAATCACATAAGAAGCATTCATGCATCTGCATTTTACAGTTTCCTCAGTCTATTTATAGAAAACCTAACGTTTATTTTCAAAATCAGAATTTGTAATTGGCATGCGATTAAAATTTAAAATTTACTTATTCTTTTGATAGTTCCATCATCTTTTTGTAAGCAAAAGTAAAATATCAAAATTGGCATGGTATGAACCTTTTAAGGGAATTTAGCCTTTTATGTGAGTCATACTGAATTTAAGTCATTGAAAATATATATTCCGAAATTTAGTCTTTTAAACCACGTGCGTTACATCCGCTCTAGATCCACCAACGAAAACAAAAGTAAATAAAATTTAAATGATTGTTGCACAGCACGTAAATCTTCGTTAAAAATGAAATAGAAGGGCGTACGTATCATTTTGAAACAGGAACATTCGGCATAATTAAAATCTGGAGAAGTATTATAATATCATAGATAAACAGTCTATAATTGTAAGATACCATTTCAGAAGACATGGTAGATCCATTGGATCCAATGGTTCCAATGATTCCTTTCTGATTTTTATTTCTTGGTTATGATTTACCTTCGTTAATCATCGTATTGCAAACACTTATTACATATTTAAACAATTTATAGCATTTTCAATATAAATTGGAAACAATAAATGAATTAAAAGTAAGAAAATATGTTCTGTGAATTTATGTTTGAATTATTCATTCACTTTCTTTGAGTTATTGTCATCGGTCAGCAATCAATTGGACCATTACCACTACCACTAAGGTATGTGGCCCATGCACACGTCTTATCTTTCCATAAGTACAGGTCTAAATCGGGAAGGTCTCTACAGTAAGACACTGGACTGAAAGAAAATATGATAGAAAATATATAATTTGTAAGTTTTGATTTGATCAGTATGAACATAGTCATCAGCAGTAACTGTAAAAATTATCAAACATTACGCCTTCTTTCATAAGTATATGGGACTACCAAAACATGAGTTATTAGTTCAGAACTGTGATCTGAATATACGATAAATTCATGTTTCTGTTAGATTGTCGTTATCCTGAGAATTTTTGTATGAAGTTTGACTTAAACCGATGATTAAAAAACAACACAATCATACTATATATCAATTACAATTTCACAGTTCCAAGTCCCTCTATGTACCGACGTCATCAAAGATTTATTCGCTGTGCTTTTTGGAAAATGGTAACGGAAAATTCAAAATAGTTAATAAAAAAAATAACTAATCGAAGAAAACGATCTTAAAGGAAACATTATGTTGAGATATTGTGCAGAATTTAACTACACACAAGGAAATATATAAATTGTTTTGTCTCTATAGGACAGTTGTCTCATAGGCAATTCTCGCACATCTTCTTGTTTTGTACTGGAAATATTTGAATATTTCGTCATGCTTGCAATATTTATGTACATTAATGGCATCAAACAGTTATTTTTTTACTTTGTCATTGCTTTGTCTTTTTTCTTTGACTTCTGTTTTGTGGTTTCCTTCCCCTTTTTATGAACACTTGACAAATTCAAAATGATTGTGTAAGATTCTGTATAAAATTTTAATTATAACTTCAGAAATATCTATTTTTGCTCAATTTTTTTTTAAATTGTTCGTATTCTCATTTGAGAAATAAAAATCGCAATGTAATCCTTTTTATGCGTGTGATACTTGTTTTATTGGTTTCGTGCAGAGATTCGATTGCTTACATCACATTTATATAAATAGAAACAAGTAGTTTTGACTAGGGTAATTGAAAATATATCGTAAATTGAGAAAATATTCGTTTTTGTTGTCTGTTAATGCCACATTACTAATATAAACGAACTCCTTAATGTACATATGCATAACACGGTTATACAAAGTACTCTATCAAAGTTGAAAACAAAACCAATTATGCCTGTACTATATACGCCATGTTGATTTATCAACATAGAATCATGTGCAAAACAGTGTAGCCGAGACCATTGATTGGCGCGCTAAAATATCCCATTGACTGGGTCAGATTAGGTGAACGTTCGTCTGTAACGCCCACAACTCACGACGTATTTATTATAAACATTTAAACTGTGGGGTTGCCAAAGGGTCTCAGTAAATATACGAACTACAGTGCACAGCATATTATATTCATATTTTATTTGCGATCATAAAATGTACGAAGTCGTCCATTACTATGTAAATTGGGTCGATTAAAAAAAAAAGCTGAATATGTTTCTGTTGCCAAGGATTTTTCACAAGTATAGTAGTTAGCAGAAAAGTTCACTAAACTATACATTTTACCTATTCAAAAACGTAAGTGCAAATTTCACAAGGCTTGATCCAAAAGCCTTTTTACTGTCTAATAACTTGCAAGTACGAAAAAGACAAGAAAGAAGTATATTTTGTCTATATGTTTTGTGTTTGCACACTTTTTAAAGTTGATCATGCATTCGTTCTAAAATAAAATTTTGACCAGATAAAAGTTAAAAGATGACATAATTGGACAACCGCAATTGTTAAATCGCTTTGACGTCCGAAAAAAAAGATAATAATCAACACATGCATTGTAACTTTTAAAGCCAGTTAAATCCTTTTTTTTGCTGAAAGAACGTGCGATATCATAAAAATTGGTTATCAAAACATAACGAAAACACAAGTAAAGAACGTTTAAGTATTCAATATAAATCAAAACACAAAGGTTATTCCTGATTAGTTTTTCGAATTATTTTATTTAGGCGTTGAGACCCTTTGGTGACCCCACAGTTTAAATGTCTATAATAAATACGTCGTGAGTTGTGGGCGTTACAGACGAACGTTCACCTAATCTGACCCAGTCAATAGGATATTTTAGAGCGCCAATCAATGGTCTCGGCTACACTGTTTTGCACATGATTCTACTTACTTCTTTAAAGATGGAATCATGAATATATCGTCTTGTATCTCATTTAATCCAAAGTTTGTGCAGTATATTTTCGACAATAATGAAGCGGATTTTATAGAGTTCAGCTGATCTAAAAATTAAAAACATTCAAAAATGAAAGAAGTTATGCTTTTTTTTCCCTAAGATTTGTATGCATATATATATATATTATTTATGTAATACGTAACTAAATTTGCAAGTGCTTACATATGTCAAAACATTGCTCAAATGAAAGAGTTACTGGTACATTTGTGATTGGTTCATGTTAAGAAGCTTAAGGTGGTTCATAACACTACAGGGAGATAACTCTGTAAAAATCAGCTGAACGTTTTAATTACGTTCTATTGTTAAGGAAATATTAAGCTTCTCAATGTTCAAAATTAGTGTTTGTCAAACTGCTACATATCCAATAAAGTGTGTGGTTCAAGTTTTTTGAAATTTTTATAATTTTTTCAAAGGGTCAAAGTTAATATTTTGTCAAAATTTTATGAAAATTAAACAAGCCAAATTAATTTTAGTCAAGGTGTTTAGTACCACCTTAAATAACAGTGAAATACCTTTTTAAGTGTTAATACGAATTTCTTTGATTGGTGAAATACAATTCATCACTTTTTTTGAAATACTGAAATATTAAACATGATACTACCTATTGTGAATGCAAAATCTGGATCAGATGATTCATACCAGTATCGGTCTCCAACTTTGAAACGGTGAAACTGAATGCCAATAATACATGAAAAAGTAGGTCCAACACTGCCGTTCTCGCCTTCTTCTAAAAGACCCCCAATATATAGATCAACTTCATCTACTTTCCTAAAAAAAATAAATGTTTTATTCACATCAACTGGGAGATATATACTCCCTATGCAGGTGTTGCTAAAATGTTGTTACATAGAAAAAGTTCATGATTAGAAAACTGAAATCAATTTTTGTCGAAATGTTCAAGTTCTCAACCGACCCTTATTGTCAATGTATAGATGTAAGTCAAGATATGAAGCAGACATAACTATACTTGTGGTATCCTTTATTTGTATTGCATTGTGATAGATGCGGTAAACATAGTCACTTTACATTAAATTATTCACCGAGAAGACATCGTCTATATAGCGGAACGTTAAGTTAAAGGATAATGCAGTGTAGGTTCTTTTATTCAAGAGGCAAGTCGGCATGAAGAGGAGCACAGATGGTTCATAAAGGAATGCCAATTGTCTGTTGAAAAAAGGTGTTATATTCTATATAATGAAAACAAGTTGGACTAATTCTTTCAATCATCCCTTAAGTTTAGAATGAAGAATATTATTGTAAATGTAAATGTGCGTATTGCTATGTGTTTCTTTACTCTACATTGGCTAGAGGTATAGGGGGATGGTTGAGATCTCACAGAACATGTTTAACCCCGCCGCATTTTTGCGTCTGTCCCAAGTCAGGAGCCTCTGGCCTTTGTTATTCTTGTATGTTTTTTTTAATTTTAGCTCCTTTATATGTTTTGAAGTTTAGTGTGACGTCCATTTTCACTGAACCAGTACACAATTTTATTTAGGGGCCAGCTGAGGACCACCTCCAAGTGCGGGATTTTCTCGCTGCGTTGAAGACCCATTGGTGGCCTTCGGCTGTTATCTGCTCTTTGGTCGGGTTGTTGTCTCTTTAACATATTCCTCATTTCCATTCTCAATTTTATAGAAGTAAATTTTTTTATTTCATTGAACGAGGATAATACTTAGTAGACCAATATAGGATTGTATTTACTCTTGAGAAATCTTAAGAATATTTGAGTATCCTCATCTGATTCCCACAGCCACAAGAGAAGGTAGTTGTACAGTAAATTTAAAGACATGTTTTAATTGCTGATAAAATAGATGTTTATAATTTGGGAAAAGGTTTCATAGAAAATATTGCAGATTCAACATTATAACATTGTTTTGAAAGACACTTATGTAATTTGGGTATACAGTACAATGAAGTTTTTCATATTTGATTGAAATTGAATAGACCCACGAGTGAAGAATATCTTTGGTATTTGTCAATGGAGTATATGATGGGTGTCCAAGTGAATATAGATACATAATTATTTTAACAATTGACGATATTTCGACACTTTGGTTAAAATATTTCGTATAGAAGACTGTTGATGACAATGTTCAGGTTACCAGTCAATGACGCGGCCATCGGGATTATAGATGAATGCGGAAGTTTCACAGGTGAAAGAAGAAGGTTAAGACTTTCATATGACTTTAAGTCATAAATATTGAGATCCTACAACACGTGTTTGTAGTTTGTGGTGTGCCATCGGTATCACATATGATAGAGTTGACAATAGCTGTAAGTTAAATGATATTCCGGGGAAGCTTCCGTAGTTTCACTTATGACACCACCATGAACTTTATAAATGTTGAAACCATCATTTAAAACTACTGATTAATAATAAAAATGAGCTTACTTATATACCAATGCAAGATTTGAGCCAAATTTTCCAAATTCGTCAAAACTTCTGAATTTTCTTAGTCCACAGAATTTCCTCCATTCATTGTAAGCAGGAACACCTTGATCACGTCCTCGTTGGATATTTAAAGAAAACAGATCTGAACCTGGTGGTGTTGTGATATAGAATAGTTTGTCACGCAATCCTTCAACTAGGAAACTGAAAACAATATTATTGTTAAGCCTTTTTTTTTGTATTTGTAAACTTATATATGAAATAGGTTATGTGAGACTAATTGCAATAAATGCATGTACATTTATTCGGAGCATTTGATTATACATTTCTCGATTATACCTGTTCGTGTTCGTGTAACGATAATACCATTAAAGGTTTAAAAAAAACTAATATAAACATAAGGAGATGTGGTATGATTGCCAACGAGACAACTATCTACCAAAGTTCAAATCAAGTGGATGTAAGCAATTATAGGAAACCGTACGGCCTTCAACAATGAGAAAAACCCATACCGTATAGTCAGCTTTAAAAGGCCCCGACATGAAAAATATGAAACAATTCAATAAATAAACTAACAAACTAATTTATAACAAAACAATTTACGAAAAACAAATATAACAGACGTCAACCACAGACAACCACTGAACAACAGGCTTCTGACTTAGGACAAGCACATAAAGAATGTGGCGGGGTTAAACATGCTTGTGAGCGCTCAACCTCAAATTGTAAAGCAATGTACACTAATCCAATTTAGCCTCTATTACAACGTATTGGCTGACGTTTGCGCTATTGCGTGATACATGCGTCGTGTTTTTTTTGGGGGGGGCATGGTTTCCCCGCTCCACTGTTATTGGACATATTTAAAAGTTAAAAAAAACCTTTTCAGCAGAGAGAATCAACCAAATAGAGATAGTAGATTGAAAGACAATTCAGCAACCATTCCGAACACAAAACTGTGCGCAAACTACGGCATCTCCGGTTTTATGACGAGCAAGGACATCCCAAACAGTTGCCAACTTAAGTACTAATCCGCAAAAATTTAATTATGAAGCTAAATACTTGTCTTATTTCTGCTCAACCGTATCAAACACTATTCTCCGTTTTTAATTCTTTTTAAGATAATTAGATAACACAAATTTTCTATACAGCAAAGGATATGAAAGCAGCAGGAAAAAAAGCGACACCGAACCATGAGGTTAAATGTATTTTTAGGTATGCGATAACCGATTTTTGGAATTTGTTGTAAAAGAGGGACGAAAGATACCAGAGAATGTGCATGTTCGACAAAAATGTCAGAAAAAACATTGTTTTTAAAAGCTGTTTTGCCATTTGTATGTTTTTAAACGGCATGGTGTAAATTATTGTTTAGGATAAATCGTTTTCACGAATTAAAAATTAAAGGTTTAAATAACGGGTCTAGACTTGACTGTCTGTGTATAATTACTTGAAATTTCAAATTATCAAGAAACAGGAATTAGCTACAGATAAAAATATTGCTTACACTTTTCAACTCAACATTATCAAAAGAGAGGCGAAAGATACCAAAGGAATATTCAAACATAAATCAAAAACTAACTGACAATGCCATGGCAAAACAACAGTTCACAAAACATAACATAAAAAACTAAAGACTTAGCAACACGTTACCCGCCAAAAACCGTATCAAGCTTTGGCCAAATTATAGAATCATTCCATTACATAGAAGCTAAGAAAACTTTGACGAAAGTTTTCTACCCAAGGTCTTTTGGACGGAAGGAGGATAGATGGACGGAGTCGAATGGTTTGTAGCCCGATTTCTCCTTCTTAGGCAACGCAGGTAAAACAGGTAAGTTATGAGTTAGTTGACCTACAACGCGTGTACCTATGCAAATGAATAGTTTGAATCACATATACAAAAGAGGGACGAAAGATACCAGAGGGACAGTCAAACTCATAAAAGGTAGGTAAGAATTAGCATAAAACAAGACGGTAAGAATGAGATTCTGCAAAGAAATAATTTATTGACAATAAACATTTGTCCCATATCATTTTGCTATGTCTGCCTGATAGACTGGACTTTGAAATAATGTGAAGGTTGCGTGTTCATAAGTTATTTGATATGCCGAGGTATACGGGTAAATGAGAAGTTCTCTTAATGAAGTAATTTATGCATGTACGATCTTTTTTCTGTATTATGAAGAAAAAAAATCATTTAACAACCTGTGAAATAACCCTGATGTAAACTTGCCGAGACGCTTAGTAGGTTTTAATGTTGTAGCTCACGAGTGTAGTCGGCAAAATGAAATAGCACCGAAGGCTGTCTTGACATATTTTTCTGTTGCTTGAATTAACATTTAATTGGAGTTCAAACTTGTGAATCGTTACTTTTGTTGACTAGTATAGTATACACAAGTAGGAACCCTTGATTCAATAACTTCCGTGTAAGCAACAACCTTCTATCACATAATAAATCATGGTAGGAAAAGCAATCTATATAATCTCGTATTAATTTGCAAGTTGGCTGTTCAGAATATTACTGAAGATACCGAAGTATGCAAACGGGGATACTGTTTAGAGTATCACTGATGATATCCAATCTGGCAAACAGGGGTACTGTTTAGATTATCACTGATGAAATCCAATCAGGCAAACACGGATACTGTTTAGATTATCACTGATGATATCCAATCAGGCAAACAGGGGTACTGTTTAGATTATCACTGATGATATCCAATCTGGCAAACAGGAGTACTGTTCAGATAATCACTGATGATATCCAATCAAGTAAACACGGGTACTGTTTAGATTATCACTGATGATATCCAATCTGGCAAACACGGGTATTGTTTAGATTATCACTGGTGAAATCAAATCTGGCAAACAGGGGTACTGTTTATATTATTGCTGATGATGTTCAATCAGGATAACAGGGGTATTGAAAGTTCTGAATATCATTGAAGATAGCGAAGTAGGCAAACAAAGGTACTGAAAGTTCAGAATATCATCGAAGATACCGAACTAGAGATACTGTTAGGAATTTTACTGATAAACTAAAGAAGGCAAATAGGTGGACTGTTCCGAATACTAATAATGATGCGAAAGTAGGCGCACAGTCCTGTTCCGAATGTTAGATCTACGTCATCTTGACTTTTGTGGATAGTTTAATTTTGTTTCATTGGCAATCATACCACAACTTCTCATTCTTTAGAGGTACTTTTTTGAAGATGCTGTAGTTGGCGAAAAGGCCATGTTCAGAACATTATAAATGATAGAAAATTAATCGAATAAGGGTATTTTTCGGAATGTTACCGATAAATCTATAGCTATCGAATACGTGTCTTGTTTGGAATGTCATATGGGTGCTAAAGTTGGTAATCAGGGCCACTATTTGAAATATTTCAGAAGTTGTTTGCAATGCTGATTATGTTTGCAAACATTTTCCCAACCCTATGCTACCCTGAACATTTATCATGTATGAATATATTCTTTTCTGTAAATTGTTTACTAACTTGTCAATTTTAAGTGCTGGTTCCGTTGCAAGCCATCTTGAAAGACTTGTAACACGTTTTCCATAGCTGTGTTGCCATAAATTAGGACTTAATAAATAATCTTCTACTCTATGTTCTAAAACAGTTCTGTAGTCATTTTTTAATTCGGATTGTTCAGCCATTATCTGCGAATGTCCATAACGCCATGCAGCTATTCCAAAACTATTGAGACAAGATGCGTCAACACTGTCATCATAAACATGATCAAAACCATTTGTTTTGGACAATAAGTTAAATCGTCTCATTGTATCATGATCAACAACAAGTGGTAGAAAATGATTATACGTTATATGTTGAACTTGCGCTATGATAATTCGACGAGTTTCTTGGAAAACTTTTTCACTACTCCAACACGGATTAAGCTCGTGAAGTTTTGTAGATAATCGGTTATGCTCTCTGACAAAAAGCAAATGGTTTAAACCCAGATTTGGTACTTCGTGATTTCGTCTATCGCCTGAAAAAGTTTAATTTACTTACAAAAGTAAATGTAATTATTCTATTGGAATTAATTTGAAAAAAAATATATAAAAAGGATTACAAGAATGAAGAAAAATATTGGACAGTACAAGAGTCCACGCAAACCATCAACGTTCGACTCCAGTGAATAAAAAAACATAAACACAACAACGAAAAACACATGGTTCAGATATCCTGAATTGGGACAGGTACACATTGCAGTGGAGTTAAACCAGTTTTACGCGACCTAGTTAGCGACAATATGTCATAAAAGTAAAACAAACAATAGGTTTTTGTAATAGATGAAATGTCATTCTTGCTTTAATATCCATGACAACTTTAATCTCGAGATAACAAAGGGGTCTTACTGCAAAATATGCACTTAGAAATTAAGGCTTTGGTGCCAAATTAAAATGTCAAGGGATTTTTATAAAAATAAAGGCTTTGAATCCTGCACACTGATTGACACGTAAAGGACGTTACCAGGATATCTGGTAATACAAATATATAATTGATCGTCTATGCATTAATGAAATGGGTAATCTAAATCATAGGGTCAGTAAGGAAAATTATGAGCACGGTTGAACGTAAAATGAAAGCAACATTACAAGTAGAAAGGCCTTAGACGATACCTTTATATAATTAGCACACATCACGACCAACAGCTTTTTAACACGAAAACAATTCCGAAAGGTTTTGACAAATACAGCCAAGGTTATCTATTCCTGGGGTAAAAACTCTAAGTTTTTTGAAAATTCAAAGTTTTGTAAACAGTTTATCAGGAATATGACAGTTGTTATCCATTCGTTTGATGTGTTTGAGCTTTTGATTTTGCCATTTGATTAGAGACTTTCCTTTTTGAATTTTCCTCGGAGTTCAGAATTTTGTGATTTTACTTTTTATTCTTAATTATGACCATATCAATGATATAATTAACTTAAACTAATGTAGCATTAGGAGAAGAGAAACTGACTCAGTGTTCTGCTGCATTTTAAGAGTTACAGGATATAAATATGTGGTTTAGAAATCTTTTCTTTCGAATTTTCAGATTTTAAGAACCTTTAAGTTGGATCCGTCATTTGTTTTATCAAGAAGCGGTTTATTGTGGCATGGAGTTTGAATGATTTACCACTATTACAAATTTTGTATAAGAAATGTATGTTTTAAATCATGTCAGTACCGAAGCACTGAGTACTGATACATAATACCCACAGGGACTATAAGTCCACCAGATGTGGTATTGACCCATGGCCAGTAAATACAAATAACACTTTATATAAATTGGTGCCTCCAAAGCTCTTTTCTGGATTAATCTTCACCAGAGACACTTAAACCGTAAAATTGGAAAAGTACTTGAATACGTGACGAGCTAATGAACACAGAAGCAAACAAGAAAAAAAGTCAAATCCATCTTAAATCAATCTTAGTTTCTAAATAATTTCATAATTTTGTCCTTTTTGGTTTAAACGCTTTTCATTTTAAATAAGATTTGGATTTTCAAATATTTTGGCCTCGATCATCACTGAAGAGACATTTGTTGTCGAAATGCGCATCTGGTGCAAAACAATTGGTACCGTTAATTTTATTATCAACGATGAATCTAAGAGAGGTATGATATAAACCATGTCAATACCAAAAATGATATCCTTGGGACAAGCAGTCCACTATTTGTGGTACCGACCCAGCGTTAGTAAATGAAAAAAAAAAACACACTTTATAAATTGCGTGTGACCGACGCGCATTTCCTTGGTTAACTGACATCAGAAACACTGAATTGTTTCTTAGGATGTGTATCTGAGTCATATTTATATTTTTATAACAAATTTATTTTGGTCGAAGGGTTTAGTCATTTTTTTTCAGAATTAAAATTGCCGTTAACATGATATCTTATAAGTTGTCAAACTTGTCGAAAGCAAACAGTACGTAGAAAAATGTATCTAGCAGCCCTACTCACTTTTTCAGTTCTTTTCTATTTCAGTCAATGTATTGGCATAAATAGTTTCGTTATTCCGTAAAATTGATGGAATTTACGTGGTTGTCCGTTTTAACGTGACTCACAGTTCATAATTTTATTGTGGTGTACTGGTGTACTGTCGTAGATTAATGGGAGGTGTCCGTTGTTATTCTGTGGTTTACATGTTGTAATGTACTATTATATTATTTATTTATGTATTTCTCTGTCCTGAGTGTTCTTGTGTTTATTTGTACTGTATTCCTGTCATTAATGTTGTCATTTTGGCGGTATGTTTAACATTGCCATATAAACGGGAGATTTGGCTAGCCATAAAACCAGGTTCAACCCACCATTTTTTCTTAAAATGTCCTGTACCAAGTCAGGAATATGGCAGCTGTTATCAAATAGCCCGTTTCTATGTATGTTGGCGTTTGTTTTTGTAGCAGCTCAGTGTTTCTGTTGTTCCGTTGTTTTCCTCTTATAGTTGATGTGTTTTCCTCGGTTTTGGTTTGTGACCCTGATTTGTTTTCGCTTAGTCGATTTATGACTATTAAACAGCGGTATACTTCTGTTTTTATTTAACTGTTATCTCCGATGACAAAAAAGATTAAATAGTTGGATCACGACACGATCTATCTTTCAAGGGAAAGAAGTACAATTTGCTCTAAATTAATTTTACGCTTGAAGTTGAAAAAAAAAAAACAAACGTGTACGGGAGGAAACTCTTGATTTTTATCTCATTGGAAAAACTTGGTATCAAAGAACAAATCTGTCGCATGAGTTCCCATACGAAAAGTATTAAGAAATTTTCTCATTAACATTTAAGCTTTGTTTGAGCATGTTTGTGTAGATAAAATTATTTTAATATTTCAGATAAATACATGCAAACTTAAATGATGAATTTTAGAGGCCAATCTTAACTCGGTAATATGCACCAATAAATTATCATTCCCTTTTTTCATTTGATGATTTATCCAAGTTACAACTATATGGCCTTTATGGACTCAAAGACAGTGACAAACCATCAAGTGCGGAGAAAGCTTGACAATCCGCTAAAGGTTTGTAAATTATATTATTCATGTGGGCTGGAATATCTTTACAGAATATTCATGCGACAGTTATTGAAGTAAAATTAAATAAAATGTTACTTAAAGACCCCAAGCAGGTAAAAAAAGTTAGGGCAACAATGCGATGATTTTAAGTAGCTTGTATAATACAAATGAAGCAGACAGGTTTTTTTTATAATGATTAACTGTCTGGCTTGCATAACGTGCGCTGACAGTACTGAACTTTACTGTTACCTGTAAACGGACATTTATCCATTTTTGATAGTTTTAAACAATTTCCTCCTTTCCGTGTTGGTAGAAGGTTTCCTGGATCTGTTTTCATCAAAACTATAAAGTAAGCACATATAAAGTGAAGAAGGTAGAGAATGTTAATCCATCAATGATAATCTTCATTTTGAATTAATAAATTTTACAGGATCACCTGAGATTCCCTCCTCCCCTTTCCCCCGGTTTTTGGTGAGGTTCGTGTTGCTCTAGTCTTTAGTTTTCTATGTTGTGTTTTGTATTGTATGTCTTTGTTTTTTTTTGCTATGGCGTTGTCAGTTTATTTTCGACTTATGGGTTTGGATGTCCGTTTGGTATGTTTCGCTTCTCTCTTACATGATTATTTTCACATAACGAAACGGACAAGGTGCGTTGTCATAAAATAATAGAATAACAAAGGATATCGGGTATCCATCCATGACACAAAATCAGTACATGCACAGCAAAAAACATACAAAAAGTCAAGAAACAGCGCTATAATTACTGTTCATCATCTCAAAATCTCAGTGAGGCCTTCAATACTGTTTCAAAATGTTTTGTACAAAGTTTTAACTGAATTATATAAGTTGAATAATTAAATGTACAACAAATTGATCTCGTCATTGTTTCTATGTCTGTTTCTTTAAACTACAGAACTTTAATTCCTAATATTTCTGAAACAATTATTTTAGAACTCAAAACCTGTTTGGAACCAATCAAATAGAATTTTTAACAAGACAAACTTCAGAATCATTCAAGCTTAAAACTCAGTTTTTATGAATTTTGTTTCTACTTTATACCCGAGTAACAAACATACTTACCAGTCCCGACATCTCAATTAAATAAAACATCTAGAAGACACACTCCCAACCGGAAATACGTCACCTTCGTGCATTACTTTATTAGTGCCCACTTCAGTTTTATTTTTTTTTCTATTTTTGTCTACAATATTGCTACTTTAGAAAATTTTAAGTGTCACCCAGAGTATGGCTATTAGTCAAATCATGCTTCTCTATTTCACAAAATTTCTCATTTCTTTATTTTAATATTTCTGGAACCTGTCATGTTCACCAGATTTCAATAAAACTGACCTACTGTCACAAGTTTTGAGATCATCAGAATTTCTAGAATTTTGAGAGCCCTATACACTGAATTAAAACCCACTATTTTGATGTTCCGAATCATAAATTCGAACAGATATAGTTTTCCTTCATCATCACCGTGATTTTGTAGCTCATGTTATTCCAATACAATTGATTTACCTTAACGCCATAAATTTAAATTGACATGCTTATATAATTAAGTTGTAATCACCGCCAGTTAATTGCAAGTTCGGTTCCAATGATGAGGAGATGTGAAAATTCTTAATTCTAAACGATTTTCAATCATTATTTTATATATCTATATTTTAAATGTTAAAACGTTACCTTAAAATTTCCCGAACTTTAATCGTCTTCTACTGTGATGCAAAATTCCTAATGATTTCTCATGCTTTCTTATTATAATCAACACCCTATACCCCTCCATTAATAAAATTCATTGAAACTTTTTTTGCCTGTTTATAAATTTGTATTCCTATTTTCAGGAAAAAAAACCAACAAAATAACCCAAACCTATTTACCAACGAATCTCAATATACCCATCATGTAATGCCTCGAAAACCTGGAACTGTTCTTGATTTTTATATCTTCGATTTCTTAAGACCAATAGGATATTTTCCGCAGTAAAACTATGGTTGTATATCTCGCAAAATACTAGAGAGACATTGCCAAAGTCAACAACTGAAAACATGAAACAACGTTGGCCAAACAAACATCTTTGGCATTCTAAAATTTGTCAGCAGGATGGTAACCAGTTTCAAAAGTGAGTTAGAGAAGAAATAGAGTGAGCTCAGGTTCCAGAAACGGATAGGCGAGCAATGTCCATATGGATTAGCACTTATGCACGTGCATTATAATTCACAATTAGACCTTGATATACTCGTTTACACTTTTGCCCACAGACATAAAAGAAAATGATAATGACTATGATAAAGGATGACGTTTTAACGTCCAGGGAAAAATTAAATTAGTATTCAGGACGTGAACATGGTAATGAGATATGAATATAAACCCTGCTTTTTATAAACCGACACAGTCGTAATTCTAATTCGGGCACATTATTCTGATTGTTATCCTTTGTTTTGTTACTATCTTAATATCAATAAAAAAATAGTTATATTTTGAATGTTTGTTTTGGTGACAAATTTCTGGATCCGCCCGTGAATAGTACTGTATAAGTGGCCTGTGAGCAGCACTTGATGCCTCGACTGTCACCGTATTATAATTCTTCTGACAAATGTTCTGACATTGAAACTTTATTTCCGTTGCAGTAATCTTGTCTTGTAATAAATCAAATATTTTTTTATTTCCGTATTAAGGATTCAAATTGTCTATCCTGTTATTCAATTCTTCATCATACAAATCATCTTTTTGCTACAAGATGAACATTATCAATTTGTTTTCGACTTATGAATTTGAATATACCTTTTGTATCTTTCGCATCTCTTTTCCTGTCTTCCTGGGAATGGAAGTAATATTGTTAAAAGCTCGTTACATTTGAAAAAATAAAATAACTTAGTATATATTTTTCTTAAGGTCTGAACTCTTTAGCGCAAAAATAAACTGAAGTAGATAAAGGTAAAGTAGAGCATAAAGGTGACGTATATTAGGTTTGGAGTATCTCCGTTATCTAGATGCTTTATTTTAATTGCAAAGTCGGTACTGGTAAGGAAAGTAATATCCGTATTTATATTTCTCAGGTGATAAGTAGAAAAGAATGATATGAAAATCATAGTTTTTCATACAAAAACAACAAAACGAACCATTAAAAAAATTAAAAGATGAAGGAAGCTGAACTATACAAAATACATGTGAGTTTATCTACACATCAATTACTTACAGCTATTAGGTACTCTTAGCTCTAAAGTCAAATTCCGTTGGATTCCATACAGAAATGAAGCATCTATGTAGGAGGAGACTAGATTTTTCTGCTCCCAATAAGCTGCTAATTAAAATACCTTTGATAAGATATTTATTGTTTTGGCGCTTTTCGTTTGCATTTGTACAAGTTAACCAGCAAACAAAAACTCTTATAGATTTGCAGAACAATTTTGATTTTAGATATTATGGTAAAATATTTGATAACAAAAATGCTTTAGTTGTAATATCCGAGGGAAAAGACTTATTTGTATAAACTAGAATAACAATTACACCCTACCCCTCCACCCTCAAATAAAAAAAAACAATTTTGAAGACAAATATATGTCGAATTAAACATTTTACTGTCCATGACGTTAAAATACTAAATCCCTGGGATGTGTTTTAGTTGATTTTAGTCTCTGATGCATGATTTTTTATTATTATTTGTTGTTGGCTTTTAACTAGCTGTCAGTAACTGCGAGTACTCTCAAATCGTACTTTCTTGTTTATTTGACCTGTTGATACTAATTGTAATGCTTTTTTTTTAATGTTTACTTATTCAGGGTTATATCTGGTCTATATACCAGCTTTGATAAGTGTTTGGTATTACTATAAATTTTCACTTCTTCGTACTATGAACATCAAAATTATTTATTTTGTAAAAATATTCCTTTCTCCATTTGAACGGTACAAGTATACCTAACAACAAAATTATTTTCATTTACCTGTGTTTAAAGTAATTGCAAATGGCTGATATTTTTGTTCAAGCATATTTTTCTTTCTTAAATTGTTTAACATTTCACAGCGGTATAACATGTTACTTTATTTTTTCTTCCCTTATTTTATCTATTTTGTATTTACATTGTATCATAGATCAAATCTATTTGTTCAGTGTATGTTCACTGGTGTTAATATGTCTTTTGATTGAGTTAAGCCATTTCAATTGATATTTTATAGTGTGTCTTTCTATGTTGTTATGTTACACTATTGTTTCAGATAAGGGTGAAGGTTTGGTACCATTAAAACGTTTAAACCCGCTGCAATTGTTTGCACCTGTCCTAAGTCAGGAATCTGATGTTCAGTAGTTGTCGTTTGTTGATGTGGCTCATAAGTGTTTCTCGTTTCTCGTTTTTTATATAGATTAGACCGTTGGTTTTCCCGTTTGAATGGTTTTACACTAGTAATTTTTGGGCCCCTTATAGCTTGCTGTTTGGTGTGAGCCAAGGCTCCGTGTTGAAGACCGTACTTTGACCTATAATGGTTTACTTTTATAAATTTTGACTTGGATGGAGAGTTGTCTCATTGACACTCATACCACATCTTCTTATATCAATTGTATTTTATTGAGTGGTAAAAAGTATAATCCTTGTACATATTTTTAAATTGTTATATTAAAAATGCCAGAATAAACAGGTGGAACAGGAACTACTTACTCGTTTTGGGTGTTTGAGTTCATTCTAGGATTTTATTGAGTGGTACAAAAATCTTTGAAGAGTTTTTTTGTGTGTGTACCTGTTGCTCTATGTGTTAAGTTGGATGTGTAATGTATTGTAGAGTATTGTCTGTCTTTTTGTGTTTATACACCCGACATAAAAATTAATTTGACAAAATGATGCATAATTATGACATCAAAAAATACATTTTGATCTTAATTGTTTGCCTTCTTTTTTTTTTGTATTTTGCTGGAATGTTTTAAGCTGAATAAATGGCATTTCAAGATAGCCCATTATACATAAGCATAATTCCGTTATGATAACTTGAAAATTAAAGCATGAAATTCAAACGATTATTTACGTGTTTTTCCAAAGGTATGTATCGTTCGCCTACCCGTTAATGTTTCTTAACTGATATATCAAATAAAAAAATCCAACAGTTATTTTGAACCCTTTTAAGGCTATTTTTTCGCACTTTTATGTATTGATTAATTCCTTAAATCATTTCTTGTCTCTTCTTTCTTTTATTTTAAAGGCGTTAAATCTGGAAAGGAGTCTCGAAAGCAAAAAATTATAACAAATTTTTTTGCTAGTTCTTTTATTATTCAATACTTTTTGTTTATTAGTCAATGTAATAAAATAAAAGAAAATACCAAATTGAAAGTTTTTTTGGGGTTAATCTATATAGTCAATGAAATTAAAAAGAAATGATGATTTCACTCGATGAGATGATTATATGTATTCTAGACCTTTCACCTGCTTGCCTTGAAGACATTTAGGGACCAGGCATTCAAAAAACTATATTCTTCCTCCTTTTATTTGAATGACCATGACAAAATACAGTCTTTTGCGATAAACTATACTGTAGTTGTGTGTTTTAACGTTTCTTAACGATAAGTGGCGTTAGTACTACATGTAAAATTGTATGCACAAATGTTGATGTTAGTATTTCCCTACACAAAAGTCTGCTGCAAAACACAACTTTGTCATCACGTGTAGCAAAGTTATCCAGTATTCGAAATAAACTAACACGTTGAAACGTCGAAAATGATTGAAGATTATATGTAACACCGATTACCATATTTCCTTGATAATTTTCCTCGTGTAGAGTTGTTTATAGTTTAACTGGGATTATGTCTATCAAAATCCTACTGAATCTAAAAAAAAACTATACCTGGACAGTATATCTCCCAGTAGGAATGTTCACGTCAGGATATAGTTTTTGCAATGTAATAAGCGTTTTTGTTCTGTTATAAGTTATAAAATACGTTCGGTGTACATAAGTTGAAATGATCGAAACTTATTTATCAATTTTTTTCGTTAAGTGTTTTAAAGGAAAGTTGAAAATCAGGAACTGAATAAAACTTACAAGGCAAATATGTACCTTCTGTTGCAGGTTTTGCTCTTATAAAGTTTTTACATCCTGCTGGAAATCGTTCATCATCACAAGGAACATCAAGAGGAAAACATACATCAGCGCTGTACAATAGTAAACAAAGAAATGCTGAGCAAAGAAATGAAATATTTCATTGATTATTCCAATAATTATTAATATTAAAAACAAATTGTTCAGAGAACAATTCAAGGTCTTTCCAACTCACATGTTGATTACTAAGGTTTGAATTATTGATATGCAAAAACTTATTTTTTTAATTACAAAAACGTAGCCTTCATTTTAAAAAGAACGATGTCAGAAGATATTTATTTTGCACAGTTTGAAAAAAAAAATATTTGAAGATCTTATAGTTGAAATAAGGATAACGATCACACTTCCTCTGTTATTTAAAAGACACTATCAGTTTCAACTATTTTTCAATGATTTAAAAATATATGGTTTTTCTGTATTTCTCTTTGACATGAGGTAGATAATTATCTGTACCTTGTTCCTTCCTGTATTATATGATAGCTTGCATTAAACTGATTCGAAAAATATATAGTTTCTATATACATTTGTTTGAAAGAAGGGAGATAATCTGCTACTTCTGATTCACAAATAGTTATTTCTAGTTAATATAATAGTATTCTATGCACTGATTTAAAATAATATATGGTTTCTATACATTTCCCTTTGAAATAAGGAAATAATTGGGTATTTCCGTTTAACAAAATTCACATCAGTTGTCATATGATAGATTTTATCACACTGATTCGAAAATTAGACCTTAATTTCAAGGCTAAAGATCAAGAATTTCAAATCAAAAGTCCCAAAGTCTCACATATATGTTGTTAAGAAGTTATCCTACATAAACAGCTTGTTTGAATATCAAACGGGAGAAAAACTCCTATAAAAATCATCAGAGCACTTCGACTCAGTGTAATGGTGTTGCGTCAAGTAGCAACTTAGAATTTGACAATCATTAACTCATACGCTTTACGAGCTTAAAATTTAGATCATGACCTTGAACTTAATTTCCTGTTTATAGCCCATTGACCTCATACCAAAAGACGCTGGGTCATTATAACTTAGGTTTATATCGACATTCTATTTCTAGTACATGTTACAGAACCGCTTCGGTCCAAACTGAACAGATCATCTGAGGAGGTTACGCGCAGTTTGAAGAAAAAATTCAAGCAATGTCTTTTACGGTTTCTGAGGTTTACAAGAAAAAGTAAAACGTGGAGATAACTGCCATATGCAAAAGTGTTCAGTTTAAAAGGGTGAGTTTTAAAAGCACAATAACTGTTCGAAATCATATGCAAAATATCTTATCGTCATGTTGTGAAACAAAAGCGACATTTCAGAAACAAAAATGGGGAAGAAAAAATACTATCAGAACAAAACCAAAAGGTCTTTAAACAGAAAGGTAGTAAGACCTAATAAAGTAAGTGTTTTCGTATCTCACTATCAAAACAATAAATGCCTCAAAATGTATTTGTGTTTCACTGTCTTTCGCCATCGTGGGAAATTGATGAAGGTTTATGAGATTAAATGAGATAAAATGCTCCATATGTTTGTACAGTTTTAATCCTAAAAAAGTCTTCACGTCATTGTATATATGTTTCCAATAGCAAGCATTTCGGTACTGATATAAGCAGGTTGGGGATAACCTACCAAAACGGAAACTATTCCCAATATGAGTAACAATTCCTCAAAAATTTATAGACAATAGAACAATCTTTCCAAACGATCCATATCTTTTTAAATTTTGGTGTTTAAAGGTTGCAATTCTGTAAATATAGATAATGCAATTTCCCATAGGAACTCCTTATACAGCTAAAACTGTACCACTTTTACTAGGAAGTTTCGTAAAAAATTACATCCTAGAATGAAAAGCTTATATGCACTATTTTTTTTCAAAGGTCAAAATATAGGGTCTATGGCTTCTTGGCGTGGTTTGTGAAACAGCTGTATTTACAAAGTGCAACATAAAAAAGTTAGAAGCATTCAAAATTGTTATTTTTTCAAGGTTTTCATAGGTTTGTAGCTTTTAAGTGAATCAGGTTAGGACTATCCCTCTTTTGGAAAATTTGCGATTCATCATAAATAGCTAAGTTAACGGTGTTAAAAGACTTCAAGAAAATATTACTCTTACTGGTAACAAAAATGAATTGCTCATACCGAACCAAATCGCTAACGACGAAGTTAATAGTGTTTCTTATTTTTAAGTAAATGGTTAAAAGTAATTCCTCGTCGTTCAATTAGTTTTCATGTACAACAAAAGTAGTTGAACTTAGATATAAAAGTAGTGTTCTTAGATTTTAACAGTGTTGCTTATTTTACAGTAAATCAACAGATTGACAAATAAAATCTCTTAGGCGAAAATATCCGGTAATTCATGATCCAAAAGAACGACGTAAAACATCTGAAAGGGCAAATGAGTATACCAACATTAATCTAAATAACAATGACATTTTCATATAAGTTTTTGATAACCCTTTATGTAGGCAATCTAATTTGAAAATTGTATCTAACTTTTTGTACCATGTGCGTGTGTTTCGTTAAAATTAAAAACAAAATCATAGGCTGCTCGCCAAGAGAAGATTAAGTCAGAATAAATGTTTTTTTTTTTAAAGTTTTGTATAGATATTTTGAGGGATTAAGGCGCCGAAATTTTATTAATGTGATTTTTACATTGTTCGTCAGTTTGAGTTGTTTGAATATAGACAAAAAGGAGGTGAATATTTAACAGTACTATATTTGAATTTCAAACTTTTTTTTTTCGGGCGTCACTGATGATTCTTTTATAGACGAAACGCACGTCTGGCGTACACAATTTTAAGCCTGGTATCTTTGATGAGTTTATTAACCGATGTTCTAAAATCATCAATCTATTAAAACGACAAAAGAAAAACTGAGAGAATGGCATGAACTCCAAAAGGAGCAAGATCGGGTGCGTCGACAGGGTAAGCATGTCCTGCTATGCATGCATCCCCAACCATGCAAATCCACACTCAGTCAAAATGTTACTATCTGGAATAGGATACAGTGGGTAAAAGTGATACTCGTCGGACAAAGTGGCATAACTCAGATACATATTTGTAAAAACAATTTGTGTTTTACTATAACTTGTTCTCCTTGAAAACAATGAAACAAAATTGAAAAATTTGATGTATTTATCATATCATAAAATCTGTGTAAAGGAACAGAATGAAAAAGTTATTTATTATGCAAAATGCTATTTATTCAAAACACCTTTTTGAAAATTAGTTGTAATGCTTATCTTATCTATCAGATAACGTATGAAAAAAATCAACAAAGATGCCAGGCTTATACTTTGGTACGCTAGACGCGCGTTTCGTCTACATCGACTGACCAGTGGCTCTCAATTCAAAACAGTTTAAAGGGAAAATAGAATAAGATGCTGAAGGCTATTATAAACCAGATATCTTAACAGCCATATGTTATCTTATGAAGTTTGCATCGGTTGATATTGAATGAATCTAGTGTTTAAACTTTTGGATCATATAAAACGACAAGAACTAAGGATATTTTAAACACACAGCTTTGAAATGGTTAGGGTTTTTTTCCCTATTCGGTTTTGAAAAAAAAGAAATGGAAAATTTACCCATGAAATTTTTGCAAGCACAGTTTTAGAGTACTTCTTAGGCTTTATAGACAAATTTTACCAAAACAAATTAAGGATAGGATATTATAATATACCTACATACGTCTTCGTGTTTACACTATTTACCTTTACTGTTTGTATTTTAAGCAGATTTTCCTACTGAATAATCCGATAATTAGTTTGAGGTAGTACAGTTTGCGACTCCAGGTTTTTATATGCAATAATCTAATAAGCGTGCAACAATTGCCTTTAAATTCTAATACGCTGTTACCGATGATTAAATGGGGTCAAGTTCAATATTGATGATTTTGACTTTGCCGTTCATAGGCAATGGCGTTGATTGATTTGGAAATGACACGTTATGATATTTTCATGCAATAATTAGATAACCAATGCTATTCAAAATTAATTTGTTGCTACTTATGGTAATGTGGATTTCAAGTTCTATAGCGACTATATTTACTTTTGCCGTTCTGGAGTTAGTGTCCTTAATTGATGGGGAAATTGCTCTTCAATCGTTTCGCTCAATCAGTGCTATTTAAATTTTAATATATTATTACCAATTAGAAAAAGGGTTCAAATTCTGTATTGATGATTTTCATTTTTGCTGTTTATGAGTACTGGTCCTTGATTGGTTGGAAAATGGTACTTAATGACAATCTAGTTCGATAATTTGAGAAAACTTTATCCCATCATTTTCTAGTTTTATAAATTGTTTCTCATGACAAAATGGGGTTCAGCGTTTTTTGACAATTTTCCATTTAGCCTTTTAGGAGTTATTGCCCTTAATTCCTTAAACATTCACAATAATCCTGCAAGATAAACTCCATTTTCTATCATTCTGACAGTGTCTTGTTCAACATTAATGTTTCACTAAATCTTCTGTCTAGTATGTATTTCGAACATTTAAACTATCCCTCACTCCGTTTTCGGTAACTTTGTAAAATATGCTACATTTAATAAATTTTGTTACTTTGAACATTGTTAATTTACTGTTGCCTCTAATTTAACGACTTCATTATCTAATGTTGAATTTATATTGCGGAAAAAATACGTAGGGATAGTGTTATTTGTGTAGAAGCTGATAAGATGTGCATGTGTAAATACAACAATATTACAATACAAGTCTACTAGTACAATGTAATCGTTTGTGAAGGCATTTATACAATGAAAATAGAGGGTACAACGGAGAAGATTCTGCAGTAATACAAATTGATACAACAGCACCAAAAATGCAACTACGATTATCAAGCAAAGACATCACAACAATGTAAACAAAACAAAAACTATAGGCCATCTGTTATTACATATTTTTGCAATGCATTGTGACATTAAAACCCATTATTTTACTATACTTTGGAGTTTGATGCAAATTGTTAATACTTTTAAACGGATATTGAAAATTTTGAAGGAATTACGAATTTTCAATTTTATTCATCATATCATGTGCAAGTACTTTAAGGAATATCAGGGAACCCCTAGCATGTGCGTTTGTTTGTTATTGTTTTTTATATAACTTTTTTAATAAAACAAAGGTTATGTGTTCTATCATTTACATTCTAGCAGTTTTCCTTTTATTATATCATTGGGAGGGGCATTCAAGTAGGTTATTTATTGTTAAATCCTTGGGAAGGACGCATTCAAATTAAGTAACCTTTTACATGCATTGCAGTAGCTCTATAAAAGCAATAAATTTCCAAAAGAAACAGATAAGTAGTAGCTATATCATACTTGCCAAAATTTGGATCAGATCTATTACAACAGTCAAACCCTATGAAAACAAAATTTAAAGTATTCCTTCATTAAATTGCACTGATTACTTCATTTATAAGATACATCTATATATCTGTTGCATATGCGTAAGTCACCTCAAATCTGTCCCAGTATATTTGTAATTACTTTTTGGTATACAGAAACTTTTTCGAATCTCATTGTTATCATATTTGAAGTAAAACCCTTATTTCATAAAGTGCAAGTCATTCTTCACATTTAACGTTGTAAGTATGTGTTACACCAAAGCGATATATTCAGAGAAAACACTATCTTTTTTCAATATGATTTTTACGAAACTGTCATTTATATTCAGTATGCATATAGAACATCAATTGCATGCACAAGTGTTATGTGGTATAACATCGTTTTTAATGTAATGATTATAAATATCATGTCTGAAAAAGATCTATTCAAATTAATACTAATTACAAAAGATTAATTACTTTTTTTTAATACCATTTGCCTTGATTTATTTGTATGATATATGTTACTATTGGATTCTTATAAATAAACTTCTAATAATTTTTTTTAAGACAAATCAATTGAAAATACCTGATGGTATATCCGTTTCTATGAAATCGTGCGCCAGTAATTGCCCGAAAGCCATGTGTTGCCCTGTTCTGATTTTATCAAACTGATTATATGGTCCTAATGCAGGATCTGATACTACATTACTGACCAGTCTTGGATCGGGAAGTCTATTCGGAAAACCTCTTGGCAAGCTTTTTCCTGTTGACAAATAGGAACATCAGCTATACAATTTACGTTTTGATATACATCAAAATTTATAGTACGGAATGAAATAAACTATTTTGCATGCTAACAGTGCTTGAAGTATTACGGACAACCTTATGATTTGTTTGACCGTTATACAATATCTTTGTTAAGATCATAATGTATATGTTCAACTTGTAATCTTCAACCCGTCCTCTTTTCCTCGACACAACCAAATGCAACTTATGTTGTGTCATCTGTACTATTATTTGTCTGTTTGTCTTTTTATTTTTGGCCATGGCGTTGTCAGTTTGTTTTTGATCTATGAGTTTGACTGTCCCTCTGGTATCTTTCATCCCTCTTTTATCACGATTTTCTTACTTGCCACTCGTGGCACGGGAACTGCCTATCTTTCGGGTGCATCTGATTCACTTCAAGTTTTTCTTTGGTGTTTTTTTTTTGTTGTTGCTTAATCTTTAAAGTTTCCGGTGAAGTGTTTTGTTATTGTTGTTATTATTGTTTTTTTTTCACTGGAGTATGTATCTTCTCTTTTTTTTAAATTTATTTTCTTGAAGTAATAAATGAATGACAAATTAATAACACTAAGTACATGTCGTGAGTCCGATAAATATAACTGTTGAATACTCATTAAACATAGCGTTTCACATCACCGTGGTATATCACAACACGCCTACCATATATTTATGAATACCTCCTTTATAGTTTTATAATTTTGTTAAACAATTAAAGTGTTGAATTCTTAGAAGGACTACATTTACTTGACAAATAATTTACAACCTGAAAAACTACACTTAATGAAGAATTCAATTTTTATAAGTATACGGTATTGATAAAAACAGGACATTACACGAGTAGAACCAAGCTTTTTGTTTGTTTTGTATTACATATTCAGACGCATTGTTGTAACGCAGTCATGCAAAGCACGTGCAGTTATAAATGTTACGTTTTATTTGAAAATAATTACATAACATGTATTTCCCATAAGAATCCGTATTTTAACTGGTTTACAATAATCAGAAGGCATTCTAAAATTATAAAAGGTTTGTATTTACATGAGCTACACGACGGGTCCACATGTGGAGCAGGATCTGGTTACCCTTCCAGAGCACCTTAGATCACCCCGATTTTTTGTGTGGTTCGTGTTACTCATTCTTTAGTTTCTATGTTTTGTTTTGTGTACTGTTGTTTGTATTTTCGTCGTTTTCCTTCTTTTTTCCTGGGAATTGTCAGTGTTTTTTCGACTTTTGAGTTTGAATATCCCTTAATTATCTTTGGTCTCTCTTTTATACTCTATTTTTCAATGAAATGCAACATTCATCAAACCATGTGATTCACATGACAACGTCAATGTCTAGGAAAACAAACGAAAAGCTGGATGTAACTCGTTACTCCATTGTCAAATCATTAAAATGTAATTACAACAATTTAATGCTTCTTTTTTGTAATCACACACAGTTGTTGTAGCTTTGATCATGCTCACATTTTTAGTATGCGGTTAAAACAAAATGTACTTCGGTCAACGCTTTACTCTCGTACAAAGCTCTTAATCCTTGACCAGATTTGGCTATACTTATTGGTTTGAACCGCTCTTCAACATTTGTATTAAACTTTGGATATTCAAACATTTTGGTCTCACGCATCACTGACAAGACATTATTTGTCGAAATGCGCATCTGGTGCATTAAAATTGGTAAGGTTTATGTTTTTACACACAATTAAATTACAAAAGAAGCATTCAATTCTTTATTAAAATAAAGCATTAAAAAAAAACACATGATTGTTGTTTGTCATTCAAAATGGTCGGATAAAAATGAAGTTTTATTTATTGCTACTCATCAATGTTCTATATTCTAACTTGTTACAAAATATATATATACTAATAGTTAAACTCTTACCGTCCTCGTATGATACCATCGGTCTCCCATTTATATCCCTAAGTCTTCTCTGTGCTGTACCAGCCTGTCCCCAAGTAGGATTTCTTAAATTGTTACAAGACCCATCAAATGATCTGTAGCGAGGATTCTTTGGGCAAGGAATTACTATAAATTCAATCAAATACCAGATAAATAGAAATGTAACAAACACAATAGAATCAATTATTATAACATTTCTTAGTACAAAAAATCAAAATTACTTCAACACGTATTAGAAACGGAAACAATATTATGCTTTTTAAATAATACAGAAAGAAATAGATACACTTGAAAACATAACGTTAACTGAAAGTCGATATAGCCTGGTTTGCTAACTACAAGTTATTTAAACCCCGTGACGACCACTTCCAAAAATTATGAAAAACGTAGAATTTGAGGTTGTGAATGTTATCAATATTATCAATATATTCTGCAAAAGACTTATTCAGAAAACTATACCTGATTACTAAGTACTTCAAAGATAAAAACTACATCTGTCATTACATATACTTACACCGAACCTATTGCATCCAAGATTTTCAACCAGAAGAAAGTATTAGAGATGTTACCGTCAAGAAGGTAAAATTCAAATCTCTTGATTTTCTCTTCTTCCTCGCCGTCATACAAATATAGTCCCACTGGTCATGTTATCACTGGAGACCTTGATCTGTAGATGTGTTCATTCCCGATTTTGACATTCTGATTTATTTTGGATTCGCATGAAGGATGATGCATGCATAGCAGGAGACCCTTTTCTGTTGAGGTATCTAGTCTCCCCCTTTCTTTTGAGGTATCTAGTCTCCTCTTTTCTGTTGAGGTATCTAGTCTCCCCCTTTCTGTTGAGGTATCTAGTCTACCCCCTTTTGCAGTTCATTTGATTCCCTTAGTCTGTGTTTTTTACCTTGATTTGTATCTCTTCAATCGAATAATGAGACTTGAACATCGGTAAACTACTGTTTACTAAATTTGGCATCCAAGAGTCATAGTTTTTACATTCATTGCAGTCTTGTGTTGTGTAAACATAACAATAAAACCAAAACATTTGAAGCATAGATAGATTTCACGCGTTCGAGAACAAATAAGGAAGAAAGGGAAAATGATGAAAAAATTAATGATATCACCTCACCCACACTTCTAAACAAAGAAAACCCGAAAAACAAAATAACTAACAAGAAACTCAATGAAACAGGACAAAGCCAAACATAAATTTATGAATGCAATTCCGTCACTGCAGATTAGCGAATGCCAATATGATTTGTTTTTTGCATGCTTTATATTTTTTGGTCGACACCATATTTGAACGAATCAGTAAACTCCAGTTTATAGCTATTAAACAAGAAAAGAATAAAATTGAAAAAAGGGAAGAATACAAAAAAGGAAAAAACACCCTAGTCTTACCTTACTTTGTTTAAAACATTACTGAATAGAAATGTGCATACCTTTGTGATGGAAGACTGAGCTGGCGCTATCGATAATAATCTGCAACTTTGAAATATATCACTGAACAATGCAAAAAGTAGCTAAACGGATACTTTAAAATATAAGTTACGGGTAAAATTACTGAAAATGTATCAAATGATTTGAATATTGGAAAATATATCATGAATTGTAGAACATTCATTGTCAATTCAAAAGTGTAATTAAAAAAGTACAAATAAGATAAAAACCTTTGATGTTTTCGCAAATGATGGCATGTCACTCAATAGACAACATTTCAATGATTGCTTGCATCTCATATATCCAAGTGAACTTGAGAGTAAGGATACTAATGAAACTATAAAGTTTGCTTCATATCTTGATATTTCTTTGATGTTGACTGATTGATTGTAGCTTGCTCTTTGTCGAGTGGCAAATTTTGAAAACATATTACAGAAAAGAAACAACAAATAATTAAAACAATATGTAGGTTCTAAAAGTAAGACCATAAAGGATGAAAAACAGGGAATTTTGAATGCCACCGGAAAACAATGGTACAGGTATGCAAGAAAAAGGCAAATTTTGTTTTCGTGCAATGGGCAACTTTCGAATTCCACGAGAGTTCTAACTAGGGTTCTTTAACATATAGAAAGCGTGGAACTCTTTCTTCACGAAGCATCGGATTTAGTTTAAACTGTATTTATTTATGAAAAATTATAACAATGAAGTAGTACAATTTTACATAAAATTCAGATATGGGATTCAGAAACAAGTTTGGAAGAACTTTTATAAATCCGTCTCCCGAGCATCGGATTTAACGTCACTATTCTGTCCGAATGACATATACATCCCGTGCATCCAACCGGACGCCCTACTTTTGGAAAAGGTTTTACTGTCAGTCCGAAGCAGACCCTGGTGACCATATTTCAATACCTCAATTATCCTTAGAATGTCGATATTGAAACAGAAGGACGACTTCAAACTAGAATCTATGACGAACGTGATCAGCAGTAACATACCCTCCGACCCAGCAAATAACGTATATATATCGAAACTAATATGTTAATGCATGTTAACACTTTACGGACTTCATTAACATGGATGTGGTCCTGGAACAAAAACTGCTGCTACAAAGTTATGAGGTACAACGGCTGAAATCGAGACTACATAAGTTTTACGGTCAACATCACGAGTTTGTTGAGTCTCGTTCCCTATTGGGTTTCATGCGATTCCTTTATTTTGCACTGTGATTTGTATTTTCTCAATGGATTGATTTGAGCATTGATAAACTACTGCTGCCTCTAATTTTGCAATTCGTGTTAACGTGTACATATGTGTGCAAATGTTTAACTTTTTTTTTATCTTTGTCCTGTATTGCAGTGTGTATTCATTATTTTGATTTTCATTGTGGAAGAGTTGATTAAGTCATATACCAGGATTTTTGTTTAATTCTCTGTGTTTTCCGTTAGCGTGTTTACAATAGGTTCAAAGTTTTATCTGAGAATTTCCATATATCGATAGTGTTTCAGGCGATGTTTTTTATTCTAAATTACTTATGAGTCAGTTATCTTGAAGTTGTTGTTGACATCTATTAACATTCTCTTTAAATTTCACATGCAATAGGCTAGGTTTATAATCATACAATCGACTGTCTTGTGTATACATATTAAGTCTGATTAAAATATGAATAAAATGTATATATACTAATGCCAAAACATAGAACGATCAATTCAATTTTGTTCATAGTGCACTTTGTTTAAACTTTGGTATTAACATAAACACAAACTTACCAAAACCGTAGCCACTAGAATGATGTAATACATTTCCACTGAAAAAAAATAGTCAAATACATCTATTTTTCGTAAACAATGAAAGAATCACCAATATCCTGACCAGCAAATTCTTTGGAAAAATAAATCCTAGTATAAAAATTTTTTTTTTAGCACAAGAATAGAGTAGTTTCCTTAACAGTCAGTGGCTATTTGTTCATGAAATTTCATGACAAATAGAGGGGACAGCTATTTGATATATATAGGTTTTCACATCAATACCCAATAAAACACGTTTGATGACATGAAATAAGCATAACTTCTGATGGAGGATGTGGTCACAATGAAATTCTAACATATGTTTTATGTATCTTTCCAATCCCTTTGGTCACCGCCTACCCGCCTATAGCACAATGAAAGCTTTATTCTCATCTGTTCATCTTTTTTTGCTATATGCTGTCACGTGACTGCGTTATTGACATTCCGTCCGCATTTAATTTTTAAAGTGAATGTATGCATAACACTTCGGAGACCGCATATTACAAAGATTTTGCTCTTTATGTTCTTTTTCACGGGTTCAAACGAACATAAAGGATTTCTTTTCTAAACAAGGCTCAATAAAACAAAACACAAATATTCTATGGGATGTAGGTTTGCAGCATCCAGTCATTTAATGATATGTCGAAACATAATAACAACATGTGAACAAAAATGTTGAATGGCAATGTTTCGCAAAAAAACAGTCCTTATCACATTCTCTTCACTAGAAGTATGATCAATAGCCTGCACAATCTACAAAATACAATTAGAAAATATTAGAATCAATTCACAACTATATGAATTAAGAAAAATTAATAAATACTGTAAATTGGGCAGTGTAAATGTGCATGTATTGAATTGTACAATTCTATAGAAATAGTCGTATACGTGTGAAAGACAGTACACATAAAACAACAAAACAAAAACAAAAAGTCAAACAGACCTTAAATTTTAAACGTCTAGACTGGTTGAATGCAATCCGTCGAGTAGTTTTAATTCCCGCTTAGAATGCACGGGTGAATCCACCCGAGCAAATTACTGCGCATAACGATATTCATTATGCCTGGTAACGAAAAGAAATTTATTTTTGTTCTTTTTCACGGGTTCAACCGAACATAAAGCATTTCTTTTCTAAACAAGACTCAATGACACAAAACACAAATATTCTATGGGATGTAGGGATGCCGCATCCAGTCGATCGAAAAGGTACATCTTTGGCATTTTCGGATCGATGAACCATGAACTTTGAAACAAAGTTGTTTGCGGCTTGCGTAGCGCCTCCGCTTCGTTAACTATGCAAACCAAATTGCGTTTTGTCTAAACCTATTGCATTTAAAGCTTTGAGAAGAATTTATCTGGCTCTAGTATAAGATAAAGGCTTATTTACTTTAATCAATACCAAAGTATCTTGCTTGGACTGTAAAGAACGAAAATAGTACTCAGAGGAATTAATCTTAAGCTTTGCCAAATCACAATAATATTTTAACAAATGAACAGGACAAGTGGGCATATCCGTACTTGCTATCATAACTATACTACCTTGTCTGTAAATATCGGTCTTGCTATTGTGAATACTTATTTCAACGTGTATATTATGAAAACTGACATCACTCCTTCTTATATTCGAGAGTTTTTTGTATCTAAAAAAATCCAGCATAGGCCAATAATAACATACAAAGTAACCTTGAGACAAGTTAGATTTATCATGATACAGATTAAATAGTTTAACAATAATGTCCGCCGTGATTGGTTCTTTCTTTTGTACTGGTTTTACCAGAATTCTTTTATCCCCTTCTAAGACTAAGTTAAAATTTATTAAAATATAAATCGTACTTCTTGTTTGTGGAATCTGATTTACTCTTTTTAGCAATATCCATAACTGCAAAAGCGATAATATATTAACAAGGTTTGTGCGAGAGTTTGTAGATATCTTTCCATTCCTTACTCAAAGTGATCTGCAAAAGTATTAGAAAGATATGCATATCCTTTCAAGGAAAAAAAATCACGACCAGGTCCGTTACACAAGCGGCCAGGTCCGCCTATAAAGCACATATACACTGTACAATCTACAGTCACAATATAAAAACAAAGTGCGGCAAGGTCCGCATGAAGAAATTTTCACTCAAAATTCATTCATAAATTATTAACATCAAGTTTCAATACAAGCACATTAGAAATAAATCTGCTTTCATTGAAAACCGAATTCTCAGCAGAACCCCTGTTGAAAAAATTAGAAGGGGTTTCATGCTCAACAATATCTTTCACTAAACTAACATACTTGCCGGTATCAACGGACACCAGTATTGGTAAAAAAAAATGCCGATTTCCACTTCGGGATGTACCTTTGGCTTTACATAACTGAATATGATTAACAGTGAGCTATTAAAGATACAGGTGGTACGAGCCAATTGTTATCACTTGACCAATCAAACGTTAAAGAAACCGATACCTTTGGTTAAAGGATAAAAGAACTTTGAATTATACCTTGGAAGTTTAGTATTGTTACTGTTAGCAAATCGGTCTATGCTAAAATGTCCCCATATTTTATTAGTAATAAAAAATTCTGTCCGACACCGACCAATCGTCAAAATCAAATTTTACTATACTGATCCGCGGTAGTATTCAAAGTTCTTGGTATCTATTCAATTTTCTACACACCGAATTTTCTATACAAAATAAAATATTTCCACAGCTAGATTGTGCAAATCCTGTTTTATACTACCAACTTCAGATATGTGAGCTACGTTTTGGTTATCAGTGAATAAATTTACAAAATTATTCTTAAAATGATCCGGAAAATTTTCAAAGTTAAAATCACTGCCTTAAGCTCTCTCCAACTTCTTAGCTTTTCTTCGTTCGTCCACATCTGATGTGCAATTTGATCAGAAAAATTTACAATGTAGCCAGCACAAGCATAGGAACTTGCATCAGTATAAGCTAACCTGTCGGGATTCTCTGAATTGGTGCTTTAACTCTTTAATGGACATATGAGTAAACTCAACTCTAGAGTCCCAAGAGGATCGCTCGTTTACTAAGTGATGTAAATGTCTTGTCATAATTCTACATATATTACCTAGTGCGAGTGATAATGCAATGATTTTACCAATTAACGCTGCAACTTTCCTTGCAGTTATATAACTAGAATTTACATGCACTAAAGCAATAAAATTCAAAATATTCAACATTTTCATTCCGGGTACGCTTAAAATACCCCCTCTGTAGATCCCATACAAATCCAAGCCAATCTAAACGTTTTTGTTGCTTCCACACACTTTTTTTCATAATTTGGCAAGAAACCAGCAGACAATAAATCTGACAATACTTCTTTAGACACTTTTAAACATAATTCTTCAGTATCTCAAATCCGAGTACATCATTTAAATATACTATCATTTTGAATCCTACGCCAATATTTTACTAGAGGGCGTAGCAATTTGGTGAAAATATAACAACCTGAGCTTAACCCAAAGGGTAAAGATGTAAACGTGTAATATTTCTCTTTACTGCCCCTTTTCCATGAAAACCCAAGAAAATTTTGTTATTCAACATGTGTATCTATATGATGGTACCCTTGTCTCAAATCTTAATGCAAAATATTTATCTGCTGCATACGTATTGGCCTCTTTTACACTCTCATATTTAAATTTAGATAACACCAAGAATCAGCCTTTCCTTGCCAGACGAGTTTACCGACACCAATAAAGGATTAACAACTAAAGGGGACAGTGCTAACTTCCTTAGCGACTCCCATGCATACCGAATCTGCGATTGCACGTTTAACAAAATATTTGTGTTCAAAAGCAGATCTATTGTAATTAAAAAAAAACCAAAGGGAGGTGTTCCAAAATTGTAAACTATTATGTAATCGACCTTTAAATTATAAACTTTTACAGACTCGTTCTCATATTCGTTTGTGTCTAAACATAAATAAAAGTCAATCAAAGATAATCAAAGATAATACCTCATTTGGAACTGTTGGTGTTGTTAGGCTTGTTGGCTTTTTTGGGACAGTTAGACGACCAGAGTCATGTGGCACCACATAAGTAGCAGATGTCTTGAGGAGATGGTCCTGTCCTTGCTCTGAAGTTTGCGGTGCTAGATCTTGGACCATTATATCTTCGTTGTGCACTATTGGTATAACTTCTTGTTTCATGTGTTTCGCTGAAGCCACGAAAAAGTTTGTCAGCTGCGAATTTCTTCGACGTATCATTAGGTGCGACTGCCTTTCTTTTACGTATAGCTCTGGTTTCGGCCTGTCGTAGACGGCGCTCATCATCAGAATTATCAGCAAGAGGGTTACCTTCGTACTCGCTGACGGTGTCCCAACCATGTTTGTCAACAATTTTGACAGTTTTGTTACAAGCAGCAATATCTTGTTCGACTTTTTCAATAGTTTTCAGGGCAAAGTCACGATTATCTGACGAGATGGTGGCTTTCAAATCTCAATGTCCTTAGAAACTTGATCGTTGAATTCACACTGCTTTTTGTTGATAACAAATTTGAATTTGAAGTCAGGCTTACTTACAGGTTGGTTTAAGGATGGAATTTTTGCTTCAAAGATTGTGAAGATCTCCTTTTTGTGTTTTTCTAAGGCGTTGTCTAAATGATTGGAAAAAGTAAAATCACAAAAATACTGAACTCCGAGGAAAATTTAAAAAGGAAAGTCCCCAATCAAATGGCAAAATCAAAAAAACAAACACATCAAACGAATGGATAACAACTGTCATATTCCTGACTTGGTACAGGCATTTTCTGTAAACACCGAAAAAGCATCAGCTGTAGAGTTGTTTGTGGGACTATCAACTTTACTTCTATGATGACTTCTTTCAGAAGCACGTTCAGGCGAACTTTGGATTTCCTCGTCATACATGAAGGAAATAAAAAGTCAAACAGACCTTATCAGTAATCAAATTTAAACGTCTAGACTGGTTGAATGCAAACCGTCGAATGATTTAAATTCCCGCTTAGAATGCACGGGTGAATCCACCTGTGCACATTACTACGTATAACGGTATC